ACATAATACTTAATTACCAAAATTATTCCGAACGTAAACGGTACGTCGAAACTAATTTCCGGTAATTTCGACTGAACTGACTGAAAATAATTAATTCCGAAAATTAATATCGGAACTAAAATATAATTTATACTAAAACTGACGGGATATTACAGTCTGTCTAATAAGACAAGACTTATTTATCATTTTCAGTATGTCAGCGCCTCGAGTCTCAAATTCTGAAGAATCTGAGAGATCGGGGGAGATATTCATTCATGATGGACTTCTTCTTGAGGTTAAGTTTAACCTCAGAGGGAGTAAACAGTTGCAGGTACTACAGGTTGACATACGCCGCGACGAAGAAGGGCCAATTGATAGCAACAGATCGTGCCATGACGACAAACCGACGCTTTCCACCCCAAGATGCCATGCTTGAATCATAGTACACTGGGAGATTACAGAGAGTTAGTATTAAAAGTACATTGAGGTTACTAGATTGAGGTATAGATACGATCAGATTACGTCAATGACGCAGGTGCAATGTTCGCCAGGTGCTGTATGCAGGCGTGCCGCACTCACTTGATGAGGAGCAGGTGTGCCGCATTATAATGTGCCGCGAACGATGTGCCGCGTTGTCGAGCAGACATTCATGAAAGGTAATTACCAATATAGCTAGTTATCCTCATATGTACATAAGTGTATCTCTGGAATCTTCCGTGTGTACCAACGACTAGAGTCTTCATAACCAGCGTTCAGACTGGAGATCAGCTAGCAGTCAGGAGATGATGACCAATACGCTTCAAAGTTTCGTTTTGAGATCATGTTTTATCAAGTGGAACACTTTATTTCAGAAAAGTGTCCATTCTTAGTCAGCAGTATTACACAATTCATTTAATTGTGAATTGATGTATCTTAAGTTCAGATTAAGTCTATTATTCAATATTAAAGTACTGAATTCTCAAGTCATGTAATCAGTAAGGATAAGATTTAAGTTAAGCTTGTACATTCCAGTTTTAGTATTTCTGAGGACGGAAATATTTTAAGGGGGATGGTTTGTAACGTCCCGTATTTTATTAATAAAGGAAAATACTAGCTTTTAGTTTTAAGCTAGCCTTTGTTAATAAATAATCATGTTCATGTTCAAGTTCAGATCAATCAGTTAGTCATATTCCAAGTTCGACTATTAGTCGATATATGTTATTCAATTTAATTATTTCAGTAAACCGGATAAATTTCCAGGTTTAATTCCGATTCATTTATTTAATTAATGAGTCTGGAATTAATTATTCAGTAAGCGATATCCCGTCATGTTAATCATGTTTTTAGTTCCGAGAATAATAATATGTTCGATTATTATTTCGGAATTAATTTCAGTTAAAATTACCGAAAAATTATTTTCGACGTACCGTTTATGTTCGGAATAATTTTGGTAATTAAGTATTATGCTTAAAAGTTAATTAAGCATAATTAAGTGATTAATTAAATATTAATCACTAATTAAGTCCATTAAGCTGAAGCTTTTGTTCAAGACATCCCAAATGCCGTACGGATTTTTCCAATCTAATTCATAATATTTTGCCTTCTCTTTTAACATGTGTACGTGGCAAGATAGGAGGGCTTAGGATGTGATTAATCATCTTAATCACTCTTAGCTTATGACATGTGCCATTAAGTTTATAAGCCATTAACTCCCACCTCCTCAAGCCTTGTTCGGTCAAGTATATATAGATGATTTGGGAGAAAATTTTCTTACATTTTTTCCTAAGTATACCCTAAGCCGAGAGGGAGCTTGAGAGAGTTAGAAGGTTGAGTGTTATTTGAGAAGGTATAGAGTACCGTACGGAAGTCAGCAGCACGCTAACACCGAGAGTATCGCACGCCACACCGCATAGCTTATCGTACACGCACGCCGCACACAAGTATCACGCACGAAGCGCCGAACACCGGGAGCACCTGGTGCGGTTCAGCAAGCAATTAAAGAGGTAACTTCGATTACCTTAAGTTATTCATGTTAAAAGCATGATAAGTTCAGATTATTCCCGTTCTTGGTGCGGTTTTAGGCCTTTCGGCCGTGCGTATGCATAGTGATCGTATTGCGTTTTGTGTGCATAATATCTCGAGCAACCTTCGCATGATTAATCAGTTTATGAGAAATCATGATCCGTTAGTTTAGATTACTCGGAGTATGTTCATGTTTACGCGATGTTTCGGCCAAGGGGACGTGGTTGTGCATATAGTGCACCACAGGCCGTGCCTGTGCGTCGAATGCGTTAAGTTCAAATCCTTCGAGTATATCATGTTATTTTATTCAGTAATCATTGATCATGTTCAGTTAAGTATGATTTGCCGAGAGGAATTGAGATCCGGTCGTGAAACGGCTTAACACCGTCGGCGGCGTACGGTGCGTCCGCCGCGGCCAAGTTCAGTTCATTGAGCAAAAATTCATGTTTTCAGTTTAAATCAGTCCTTATATTCATGTTATGCCATCTGAGGTTTGATTGTTCGAGAGTTGTTGCCGGACTGCCGGCAAGGGCCGGCCGTGG